GCACTGGCTGACTTCCTCCGTGATGGGCTGTGACCTGTAAGACAGATGTAGGCTCTTCTCCCTTAAATTGTGTTCAGCCTTGAATCCCAGCACTCTGGAGGCTGAAGCAGGCAGATATCTGCAAATTCAAGGCCAGCCCGGTCTACAAATTGAGTTCCAGTACATCCAGGGCTATACAGTGAGACCCTATCTCAAAGTTTAAAAAAAAAAAAAAAAAGTATATGGAAGGGGCCAGAGAAGGGCTCAGTGAGGAAGGTGCTTGCTGCCAAGCCTTCAGCCCTAAGTTTAGTACCTAGGGCCGCTATGATGGAAGAAAGGAATCCGCCGGCTCCTGTTCCTCCGACGTCTACTTGCATGCCATGCCAGTGCTGCCATACTCACGAGATAGATGAATAAATTAATCAAAGAAAAGGAGAAATAGTTAAGTCTCAGTTGATAAGGCTTCCTCTCAGTCCGTCTCTCTCGCTCTCTCGCTCTCTCTCTGTCTAAAAGCCTTGTCAAGAGAACACCAGAGAGCAGTCAGGAGATGTACAGTCTTATCACTGGACACTGTACTCTGCATCCAAAGTGTGCTCGCTTATGGGACTCATGGGATGGTTTCAGTTAAATACATTGTCAACATTTCTGTGCTAAGCTTCGTAGTTAAAATCATTGAATTGAATATATAATTATAAAGATTATGGTGTGTTTAAGTTCTCAACATATTGCTTGTCCTTTTAATAACATTGTAGTAAAGCTAGGAGGTGGTAGCACAGGCCTTTAATCCCAGCCCTTGGGAGGCAGAGGCAGGCAGATCTCTGTGAGTTCGAGACCAGCCTGGTCTACAGAACGAGTGCCAGGACGGGCTCCAAAGCTACAGAGAAACCCTGTCTCGAAAAACCAAAATAATAATAATAAATTAATAATAATATTGTATTAAAAATGTCATCATCTCCTGTTTACTGTGAGAAATCCGAGATTACAAGCATGTAGTGTCGTGCTCAAGATACATTAGGTATAAAATGTTAAGAGTAGAATTCAGACAGAAGGTCCATTTAACTTCTCCCCTATCCTTTATTATGAGTGAGCATTATGAGTGTGTGCACATATGTTTATTCCATATTCTTGCTGTGTAAATAAAGAATATTTTTATGTAAATAAAGAATAGAATGTTTCCATGAGAAAATTATGGCTGGAAGGAAAGACACAGAACCCTCAGCTGGTGCCTTTAATCACTCGCTGCTCACATAGCAAGTCTGCATGGGCTTGTCCCCTTCTCAGTGTCTGTGGCCTTGAGGCCTACCAAGCCCTCAGAAGTGTTGTTAAGGGGACAGTGGCTTTGTTAGTTCGCTCTCTTACTGGTACTGGGGATTGAACGCGGGGTTTCTCGGGTGCTGGCGAGCACTCTCACTGTGCTGCAGCTCAGCCCTCTGTCTGGTTTTGAGACAGGGTCTTGGTACGTTGACCAGGTAGACTTTGAGCATATGTAGACCCTGCCAGCACTGAACTTTGAATCCTCCTGCCCAAGCCTCTTTAGTAGATGGGATTGCACACATTTGCAACCGGCTCAAACTCTTTTAAGTTTCATATGGAAAACCTCCATCTCTGACTCTCTATTATATGTTATCCTGGAGTCTGAGTCTGGGTCTTCAGCTTGTAACCGAGACTAGCCTCAGACTTACTGCTAAGTGGGGCTGACCTCATCCTGCTCTTGCCTCCAAATTCAGGGACTTTATAAGCATTCCTGGGTATTTGTGACATACTTCTCAGCAAAATTACTCTGAGGCTACCAGAGGAATTATATAGATAATCCAGTCCTCATGGGGGGGGCTGTGTGTTATGAGTGTAAAGGCCACAGGTCAGTGTTCTCACGCTCCACCTTGTTTTTTGAGGCAGGATCTCTTATTCGATATTTGATTGAGCGAGACTGACTGGCCAGTGAGCCCCAGGGATCTGGCCTGCGAGCCATTTACCAACTGGGCCATCTTCCCCATCCCTAGAGTAATAGTTTTGAGGCGACATGTTGCATGTTGGAGTGAATATTTTTCTAATAAGGAAGTATTTTAGTTTAGAAAAAATTGAGGGTTATTCCCATGTTTGTCTCACTATTATCTGGTACTTCTCATAAAAATTGTCTTTGGTTTTATTGGTAGTAGGAAATAACCTCATGTGAAAGATTTAATGCAGGCTATTCTTAAATAAGAATTAAAGCATTCTATTTCGTAACTCTCAGACTTGGAAGTACATCATTCAGCATGTGTACTCCTCCTCATGGCACAGTTGCTGCCTGTCCTTAGGGCTAGTTAGCAGTCATTGTGTAAATCTGCTGCTTAGGATAGAGGTTGTTTCTGACGACTCCCGCTATAACACAAGGTACAGTGGACAGTTTGCATATCTTATTAATGGCCCAATTGTTTCTTCAGTATAAATTCCTAGGAATGGAACTGACGAGCAGAAGTGTGTACTGTTCTGAATGATAGCGTGCACTGCAGAGGCTTTATGTTTTCGTCAGCAATGGCAGTGTCTAGTTTTTCCCTCCTCTAGTGTCTAATCTTCAGTGTGTCTGAGATTCTTTTATGTACACTTTACTGAGTATGAACAAGCCCTGTAGCCGCAGTAATGTACCATTTAACAGGAGCTGATGACTTGGAATTTGCATATTCTTTAGGATTCTGATAGAGCTTCAGATATCAAAGGAGTGGGTTTTACTAATAAAGTCAAGAATAACTGAGAACATGAGCGTAGTACCCCCGCCAGTGTCTTCTGTCTACGTGTTATTTTATTGAAACTATGAAAGGGTGGTTCTTTAGAGTTCCAGGTAAACGAAAGTTGATAAACATGTATAACATGTGTCTTCTATTTCTCAATCTTTACCCTCCACACACCCTTTCAGACATTGTCCTCCTAACTGCATACTACGATGTCTTGATACATTGTATATCTGTTTACATACTGCCTGTTAATTCATGCATTACAATTTTATTGGCCATCTAAAAGACATTGGGGCAATACTGCATCAATTGAGAATTCATGGTGGCTGTTTGTGGTTGTGTATGCACTTACATAAATATTTAGGATAAGATCAGAAAACCTCAGCCACACCCTTGCTGAACCTTTGATTCATTTGGTTTCATGGGACGCAGAGGCTTTGTCAGTTGTCCAGAAAGGAGTAAGTAGGACTGTTAGTAATTATGTCCACCATTTCATAATCTGATCAACTGTAAACAAGTTCTGTAGAATGTTCTAGGTGGATATGCCAGGTGTGCAGCATTCCTATTGTTGTTGAAGGTGTCTGGTTGTATTTAGGGAACAGTATCCCTAGTGAATTAGAGGTGCCTTATAGTAAATGCTAACCCCTGTCCCAACATCTCTCACAGTGTCTCTGTCCCTGCAGACCTAGGGATGCTGGGGAACATTTTCAGTTCCAGGTGCCAGAACTGTAAACCTGAATCCTTGTAACATCTGGTGGGTCAGTCAGGCTGACACTAGGTTAAATATCCTGCAGTGGTTTATGGAACAGAGAAGTAGCTGATCAGACATGTTGGCACTGCCACAGTTGGGAAGCCATGAACTAGCCTAGGGTATGAACGCTTCTTAGTCTGACTTTAGAGGACACCAGGTAGTGTTCTGGTTTTAGTGTGTGTCCATATTCTGAGTCGTTTGTGTATAATTAGGAGTCTCCAGAAGGGGTTTGCCCATGTGCACTGTTACTTACCAGTTATGCGTACATGAATTTCAGTCCCACTAAAAGTCTTCAGAGCAGGAGCCAGCGAGCTGGCTCTGCAGGTAAAGGCGTGTGGTGTTCCTGCAACTGTTCACTTAAATCAGTGGCTGCTGTATCTGCATGGGTCTTTGTAAAGCTCTGTCTCTGAGAGGCTAGATGGCAGGCTTCAACTTTAGTAACCTGTGCTCTTTGATGTTCTAGCCAAGAACAAACCAAACTGAGCTTAACCCGGTGTATAGTAATGGCATTGTAAATACAATCATAATCTGCACATTTTTCCTCTGGTTTTTTCAAAACCTGCATTAGTAATGTATATATCCAGTGGTGGTGGCTCACGGCTTTAATCTCAACACTAAGAAAGGCAGAGGCAGGCAGGTCTGCAAAGAGAGTTTCAGGACAGCCAGAGCTGTTACACAGAGAAACCTGTTTGGAAAAAAACAAACAAAAAAGAATTTGGGGTCCTCCTACAACGGAAATTTCAAAAAGATGCTGATCATTGCCTAGAAGAAATGTAACAATTGGATGGTAAATGTTTTCTTCAAAAACGAGAAAATACATGTAGGCCAGGTGTCACCCAGTAGGCAGACTGACCTCTGAGTTCAAGAACAAACTGACCTACATAGTAAGTGCACTAGCTAGCCAGGGCTGCATAGTGAGATCCTGAGATCCTGTTTCCAAAATAAAAGGAAAAACATGCAAAGCCGTCACTGCAGTGAAAAGGTCTAAGTTTCCATGGTGGGGACTTTGAACAGTAGTTGGCTTTTTAAAAAAAAAATTTATTTAATTTTCTTTTCTGATTATAGGTATGGTAAGTAGGGTGTGTGGTCCTTTTTCTAAAAGCAAGCATTAAGTGAGTTACTAATTCAGGTCTTGTGTCAGACCAGAGTTTAGGTGGGAAGCAAAGGCACTCAGTCCTTTTTGCTTAGCAACCAGCTTGTTGTGTTCTGTTTGCTACTGAATATGGCAGTCATGCCTCACAGGTGCGTGTGCAGCTGGACTCAGCCGGACAGTACTTGATTCACCTGCTCTCTAAACTCGTCAGGCGAGGACACCCTGTCTGTTTAGTCATGAGGAGATGCATTTGTAAACTGCAAGTTTCCGCTCACCATTCTCAAGCCCCAGCTCCGAGAAATCACCTTCTATTTGGGCAGACTGATGTCCCTGGGCTTCAGAACTTCCTATGGCCAACCCTTACAAGTGCTTTACTCCAGAAAGTTCCCAAGGTTCTGAGACCAACTAGAGGACATCTTAGCTGCTGATTCTCTGCCCTCATCTGCTCGCGATTGCTCTCTCGTAGGAAGCAGCAGTTTTGTTGGCATGTAAAGCTCCAGTTTCCGCAAAGTCAAGCTGAGTATGTAGAGAAAAGGTATGTCCATCCTGAGTGCCCTACTCCAGGGCTCTGTGATTAAACAGGTAAGTAGTTAGTGAATAAGGGCTCCGTGCTTGTCACACCATAAAGTACCCATCGGCAGTGACCTGCCCTGAGGCACCCGATCAAATCAGCTGTGATGCTGAGTAAGAAAGCAGGTCAAGGAAGAAGAGTCGAATGTGGTTCTGTCTCAAAGTCTGAACAATCCAGGGAGCTAAGTGGTGTCCATTTCAGGAATGTCTCCAAATAGGGTAGAACCCTGCGGGAAAGACTTAACACAGACCGTGGCAGTAATTATTTGACCAGAGAGCACAGGTTTAAGCAGAGGAGTGTGATCTGAATCAGGAAGTCTGAAAGACTGAGCGGTTCCATAGGACACAGAAGACAACCCAGAATTCTACTATTGAAAAGTCCCACTTTTAGTGTTAGATCTCTATGGTAGGTACGTGTATGAAACATACATGCATACACATAATAATACATCTAAATACACATGCATGTCCTAACTTAATATATATACTTTTAAGGTTCTTTGCTTGAGTATATATTTAAGTATCACAGGCTTTCTTAACTGTATGCTGTGTGGTTTCTTGAGTCAGGGAGATGTCTAAGTTGATGTCAGCTGGTGTCCTCAGCATCTGTCCCCACTGGGCACTGCTGCTCTTTGGAGTTTTCACGGGTTGCGGGTGAAGACTCTTGTTAGCAGCGTAGTCGGGTGGGAGAGCAGTAGTTGGGTGAGCCGGATCACTAAGGACGTTACTGTTTCAGAGGGGTCTTCACTGTGTTGTCCAGCTCTTTAGAGAGGTGTATCTCTACGTGCTCACGGGGAAGTCTGCTGACTTCAGACGCTCCATTTCAGCCTGGTTTGTGGCGCTGACTGAGTGCTGGCTGAGCTGCAGCCCCCCAGAGCGTCTTCAGTTCTTTCCTATGAGCGTCTGTACGTCTCAGTTTTAGCTTCCTAACATTTGAGCATAGGTGTATGTTGAAAGTGCTTTCATATTCTTATGAGTGATTGATAAGGAACTTTTCTTAAAATGTTTCTTAAAAGCCGTTCTGTGCTTTTTTTCTACATAATTTTAACATGAAAGAATGTTATATGTTGTATTTTGCCAAGAGTAAAATTAAGAGCCCTTGTTCAGCTTTTCTACCAAATTTAACAATTTTAAGTTAACATTTAGCAAATTATAAATAATAATTTTGCTATTTTCTTTCTCTGTTCGAAAGAGTACCAGATAATAAAACTATTAATGAAATTCTAAAACCTTACATTGATCCTGAAAAATCTGATCCTGTGATCCGTCAAAGGTATGTTTCAAAAATTGTATAGCTTTCTGGCATGATTTAAAGTATTAACTTAAGAAATGTGTGTTTGTGCACTTGTATGCATACACATGTGGGGTGAAAACTTTGGGAAATAGGCTCACTGCTGCCGCCACGGGGACCTCAGGATAGAACTCAGGCTGTCGGGCTGGACCACAGCATCTTTACCTGCTGGGCCATGTCACTAGATGCAAACATTAAAAGTATTTTTATGTGTGTATTTATTACGGGAAACTGTGACTGCGTTTAAATGTGTTGTAAAGTGCGGTCGTAGCCACATTTACTGCAGACGTTCCTCAGGCAGGCAGTGATAGAGGTTAGTTGATTCATTTAACCCTCATACCAGCTCTGTATAGGAGACACTGGTTCATACCCATTGTACATGTAGAGAAATGAGCCTTAAATAAGTAAAGTAACCTCCTATGACTAATAAACAAGGAAGCTGAGATTCAAACCCTCAAAGTACCGTCAGACTGAAGTCTGCAGTCTTACCCTTAGACTAGACTGCCTTTAAAGTTGAACCATAAATTCTACAACTTGAAACTTTTCTAGTAACTGTTAAAGACAGGAAATTATATTTCAGCCAAGTCCTCCCAAAACTAAATAAGGTAACACTTTGCCTCCAGAAATATAGCATGGTCCAAAGTTGCAAGCATAGCTCAGTGCGGAGTTCTGCCCTGGGTGTGTATGTATTGAAGTCGCTTTAGTTAGATGAGAGCAAGGTGCTTCTCTATCACGCTCCAATTCTTCCATCACTGGGATGAGACTAGCACTAGACAGGAAGTCAGGAAGCCTAGAAGAGAGAAGAATGAAGTCCAGAGGGGCTGGCGCATCCACAGCAGTGCTTAGACAGGAAGCTTGGTGGTGACTGAGTTTCCAGTGTTCCTGGGCAGGAACGGGCAGCTTATTCTCGGCAGGTGGTCTGTTCCTGGGGTGGGCATGTTGGTTTGGTTCCTGGGATTTGAAGTTCACACCTGTGGATCCTAAGTGTCTGATCTGCTCAAGTTGTTTCTCCCTGTTGAAGAAGGCAGTGCCAGCCAGACTCATGCAAGCCATGCATGAACCAAGTCCTGTCTTTGGGACAGCTCTGACAGTTAAAGCTTGATTGATTGACAAATCTGGCTGTTATCATTTGCTCGTGTACATAGCATTAATAAAAAGCATCGTTACTAAATTGAAGACAAATTCGTAAGCAGGTACTTGCTGACACAATTATATTTTTTAGTACATGAACTGACAAACGAGACTTTTAATTTAAGATATCTAATTAACCAGAGAGCGAGAAGGTAATTTTTTTTCACATCTTGCTCAGACAACATCTTTAGGTTTTTTTTTCCTCTGTTCTTGGAAAGATGAATTAAGAACATTAGCTATTCATAAATGTTTAGTCTTTATAAAGACTATTTAATATTTAATTTTGCTTCTTCCACTACCACGCAGATTGAAAGCCTACGTACACTCGCAGACTGGGGTCCAAATTTTAATGAGGGTTGAAAATATGCAGCAAAATATTGTAAGGTAAGATTGCTTTCCTCTGTTTCTTTATCTGTAACTAAGTAACTTGATTAGGTTAAGTAGCTAACTACTATACTAGTTGTTTGACTGGCAACAGAAACCTAGACTTACAAAAATTACTTTCAAGTTAAAATACTAAAATAACTACACTTACAATAAAATTTGGTAGCAGTCATCTGTTAATATATTTTAAACTATCCTTAGATGCTACTAAAAAGTTTCTAAATTCCATTTATTTCAAGAATATATGAGTGAGTTCCAGTGTTTACAGTTGTAACTTTGGAAATCCCAAAGAGCAGCACACAGGAAGGCACAGGGTGCTCTCACAGACCCTGAGCTCAGAGGGCTCACATCTGGAGGGGTAATGGCGAATCAATCCCACACCAGTTATGTTTCAAAGGGGTATTTATTTTGGGGGGTAAAACTTACATACACCATAAACCTTAAGGAAGGGAGCCTAGTCGCTGGAGCAGGAGCCGGGAGCAGGAGCCGGGAGCAGGGGCCGGGAGCAGGAGCCGGAACCAACAGGCCTAGCCGAGGCAAATATACCACGCCCCAGTGGGCTGGTATTTCTGCGGCTATTGGCTGACAGAGCGCCGCTCCGCAGCACTGTGGGCTCGTGCTTCAGCGACTATTAGCTGAAGCAGCGGAAGGTACTCCCGCAGCAGAGGGGAGTCTGCACCACTGTGCATTCGACAGCTCTTAGTCCTAGGCTGCTGCTCTGGGTGATACCCACCCGGCTCCAGGAGTAGAGGAGACAGTGGGTGTGCTGTCCACACTGGTTCTCGAAATCCCTGTTCTCTTTGGTTTCCTTTTGTGTGTGTGTTTGCTTTTGTTTGTTTAGTTGGTTGGTTGGTTTTTGGTTTTTGTAGACGGAATTTCTCTATATAGTCCTGACTGCCCTAGAAATCTCTATGTAGACTAGGCTGGCCTCAGACTCACAAAGATCCACCTGTTGTAGGAGGCCGCTTGTTTTCCTGGCTGCCCAGCCCCAAAATAACCACAGAGAAACGGTATTAATTAAATAACTGCTTGGCTCATTAGCTCTAGCTTCTTATTGGCAAACCCTTACATCTTAACTCATTTCTATTAATCTATGAATCGCCACATGGCTTTGGCCTGCCAGCAAGGTTCCGGCCTATCTGTCCCCGGCAGCGGCTACATGGCGTCTCCCTGACTCAGACTTCTTTCTCCCAGCGTTCAGTTTAGTTTTCTCCACCTAGCTCTGTTTTGCCCTGCTATAGACTCAAAGCAATTTCTTTATTCATTAACCAAGAAAAGCAACACCTCCCACATCCTGTCTTTGCCTCCAGAATACTAGGATTAAAGACATGTATCACCATACCCAGCAGAAATCCATGCTCTTAGGTGTGGTGAGAAGCTGGGGCATGGCTCATTTTTGCAGCGCTTGTTTGATGTGTCTGGCTGGCTTTAATCTGTGCAGAGAGAAAGGAAGCTTGGGATAAAATGTTATGTGGTCTCAGAATTGTAAGGAGCAGCCATCAGTCACCATGTCAGGGGCTGCATGGGTGGATTCTTTATTATTTGCATCAGTACATGAATTTGACACCTGATTACCTTTACAAAATGAAGTAATATCATTTTAGTTAGTTTTGGTGTCACCTCTACTTACCTATTGGGTTGGCTGATAATTCAGTTTTACCAGAGCTGAGAAGCAAAAGGAAATGATTTTTCTTCTGGTTTGTTTGTTGGTTGGTTATTTGGTTTGTTTTGGTTGGTGTATTGTTTCTCCTTTCCTTCCTTCATTAACTGTGAGGTGAGGGTTATTCTGCCTGGATTTAAGTCAAGGTAAATGGGGCTGTGGAGAGTGAAGAAAGGTGGTAGGTTGCTCATTAAATTGGTCAAATTTGACTGGCACAATGCCAACTTCTAAAGCTCGAGGAAGTCTATGTGATAAAAAGGTAATTGTAAGGTACAGGGCAGCCTTCTGGGCTCTGATAGCAAAGATCTTCACCTGAGCAGTTCGTGTTTCCAATGAGAAGGTAGAGAGGACGGGCGTGGCAGAAGTGCCTCTGAGAGGACATGACATCAAAGAGTCAGGAGCAGCTGTGCAGAGAACTGTTAGGTACCTGAAACCAGCTAAGCCGGGAAGATTTTACATAGCACAGCAGGCTGTGCTTGCGGGCTTTCAGTTAGACCTCACTTGTGCAACTGTATTTTCACAGAGAATGACCAGTCTTTATTAGTCACATGACTAGGATCCTTTGGGGTGAAATTGCATTCCAGTAAGAGATAATAACATTGCCCTTCCACACTCTGTAATTTATAGAGAACTTAAGATCTCTTTATTTTACATTTAAATATTCTGTATTAGATCTTATAAGCCAAATTTTTGCCTTTACAAATGTTATATTTATTATTCTCAATTAATACATATTCAGATATTTTTGTTGTGGTTGTTTTTTGTTGTTATAGTTTTGTTTTTCAAGATGGTTTGTGTAGCTTTGGAGCCTGTCCTGGCACTCTCTCTGTAGACCAGGTTGACCTCACACTCACAGAGATCCAGCTGCCTCTGCCTCCCTGGTGCTGGTATTAAAGGTGTGCGCCACCACCGCCCGACCATATTCAGATATTTTGACTTGACAAAAATACATCCAGTTTGGCATCATACTAAAGCGGAGTGAGTGTAAAGATTGGCGTTGCACTTTGCTTGGATTTTTAGCATCCTGGAGATTATCTCTTGGATTAAAGGAGGAAATGTGTTGTGTGTGGAAATTCTACATGGCTGACATTTGCCTGTCTTAGTCATCATATTTTTAAGTAACAGGTTCTTGTAGCCTACAGTTTCTTCTAGGAAGTATGCTGAGGTCAGTGTTAGCTGTCCTTTAGCAGGCTGCTCACCTTAGGGTGCAGATACTCAGTCACGCTGGAAATGACATAGGTCTAGCTGTGTCAGATGTAAGCAATTGTTATGTCTGTACGTGTGGCTGCTGGATGCCCTGCTCCCAGATGCCCAGACTTGGTCTCCAGCGGCCTTTCCTAGCATACCTCAGCATGTCTAAAGCTCAGCGTGTCTGCCCATCACTGCGCCACAGCCTTGGCCTCTTGGTGTGTGTGTGTCCATGTGCAATGGTTGATGGTGTTCCTGGCACTTAGTAAACAAACAGCAGATTGGGGTGCTCTTCCCCTGTTACTGACACAGCCTTGTAAGCATAAAACCTTGAACACAGCAGCTTTAGCAGTGTCTCCCTTGCCATTTTTCTTTATCCGTTGCCCTCCACAGTGAGCCTTGCCAATGTCTTCTCTCTGTTCTTCAAGCTCGATTAATGCTTACCGGTGTCTTTTTGGTGCCTGTTTTGTTCCTTATTCTTCGAGCTTCAACAACTGTTTATAATTTCCATCCATCTTTAGTATCCTAACAGTCCTGTCATATATTTCCTTGCGAAAAAAAAAAAAATCTGTGTCATGCTAACCTCATTTAACAAAAGCTTTAGGCACCATTGTCTTTAGTTTTCCTACAACTGTGTCAGTGACTTTCCCAGAGTAGACTGTAAGTAGTAATCTTGGGGCTGGTGAGATGGCTCAGTCAATAAGATAACTTGCCATGCAAGCCTGAGAACATGAATCCATTATCCAGAACCCACGTTAAAGTGCTTGATGTTGTAATATGCACTTGTAAACCCAGTGCTGGGGAGGTGGGGCTGGGTGGGTCACAGGGACTCGCCGACCAGGGGCTCGCTGACTGGTCAGCATAGCCTTTTTGGTGAGCTTCAGGCAGCGAGAGATCCTGTCTCAAACACAAAGGACAGCACCTGTGGAACAGTCGTGACCCCCTAGTAGGTTGAGCACACTCCAGTTAGCAGCCACACATCCAAGAGTGTATTTTATGGGCAGCACAAATTGGACTTAAAAAATGGGTTTTTAAAAAAAGAAGAAAACAAAGTTGTATGTTGGGGAGGAGGGTGGGTCTGGGGTGAGGTGTGCGGAGGGATGAATATGATCAAATACAAAATTCTTACGTAGCTAATAAAAAGGGGGAAATAAATGTAAACCTTAAAACAATAAATTTTAAAAATAATACAAACTAAAAAAATCTATTCCAGTATCTTACGGAATTCATTGTTCTACAATGAGCCATACTTTAAAAAGCCACCAGATAACAGTGAATAGATTTATGGTGTATTAAGCCTTAGATTTGTTTGTTTGTTTTGGTTTTTATTTTTTCAAAAAGCCAGAGGTTCAGTTTTGTACTTTTGGGATGAATTGGTTGTACTTTTAACCCAGAAACCTAGATTAAGAAATATATACAGCTCTACTAGAACATAGGCTATGCCCTACCTTTGGCAGATACGTATCAAAGCTTCCAGAGTTTTACAGTTGTGATCGCCTCATTCAGCGACCTTATTTTGTAGTGGAAAAATCCTGTGGACTTGAGTCAACTATTAAATTGTTCCATCTGGGAAAAGTTGAGTTTGGTCATTAATGTATTTTAGGGAAGGGAATGGTGGCGATCTAGAGTCACTGCCTAGATGGGAGTCGCATTGCCGTGGCCGTCTTTTTAAGTCTCCTGAGTGTGAAGAACAGATGCCTGCTGTCCTAATTTGCTGGGGCAGGTAGAGAAAGTGAAGAAGTTGGCCGCTTTCTTTGAAAGATGGGAACAGAGCCAGGGTCAGGCTTTAGGATCCCGACCTTATTTAACAGCAGCCCCTGTGACACCTGTTGAACCTACCCGGTGAGCCTTGGTGCCCCTGTGCAGCTGCTGGGAGCAGGGTAATGTCTGCGGTGTCCCTGAGAGGGAGACGAATGTCGGGATCATGATTCTTCCAAACCTAAGTAGTTTGTCCTCTGGCAGCAGCGCCTGCTGATGGAAATAACAGAGTTGAAGAAATTTCAGAAAGATAAAGGTGTCCTTTGGGCTTTGGTGACCCTCACGACTTACAAAGGAGCTGAGTCTTGAATGTTTTAAGAGAGCCAAAACTGAACTTTTAAAACTTGGAAATAGTTTTTTTTAAGTACTTTTAGATTCTTGAAAATAAACATGACAATACAACCATGGCTTGGAGGTTGTACTAAAAGTCCTATTCTTACCCTTCGACAGAACACACAGGGCAGGACTGTGTCTGATGCTTACATGAGTGCTGCCCTTTCTTACTAAGACAGTCTAGGGACTTGTCCTGTATTGTATTCAGGCGAGAGGCTGTGTGCACGACTTGTGTCTGAGCCGGTTGTCTCTTTTGTCACTAAATGCTCATAACTTGCCATCATCCCTATTTCAAGCAGGAAATGGTTAAAGAAGGGATGTGGGCTGGGGAGATGCTCGGTGGACAGAGGACTTGCTGCACATGCACGAGGGTGTGTGTGTGAATCCCCGGCACTCTGAGAAAACTGCGCGGTAGCTCATGTCTGAGATCCCTGTGCATCTCATCACTGAGATGGCAGCAGGGAGGGAGGGTCCCTAGATGCTCTGGAGCCAGCCAGTTTGTTATGTGCCATAACAGACATCAGAGAGCCAAGATGGAAGGTGACGACTGACTCCCAAGGCTGTGTGCACACACATACACGCACAACATCCATATCATACACACACGCAAGATAAATATAGATAAAATCATTAAAAAATCAAAAGTAATTTATCCAAAATCATAGACCAATGAGTGGAAGAGCAGGACTTTAATAAAATGTGTAGACGGAGTTTTCCTGTCTCAGAAGCCACTTCAGTTACCACACAGAGTCTTAATATTATTTATCAATGCTTGGCCAATAGCTTAGGCTTGTTACTAGCTAACTCTTACACTAAATTAACCCGTATTTCTTACCTATGCGTCATCACATGGTTCATGGCTTGTTAACTTCATTTTCTATACATTCTGCTTGCTCTGTAGCTGGTTGACTGGTGTCTCTCTTAACTCTGCCCTTCCTCCTCCCAGAGTCCTCTATGTCTGGCTGTCCCGCCTATACTTTCTATTTGGCTACCAGCCTGTCAGCTTTTTATTAACCAGTGAGAGTAACACATATTCACAGTGTACAGAGGAATTATTCCACAGCAAACCCCTTTTAGACTTACTACTTCATTTAACTAAATTCCAAGTCCATAAAATGTTAATTCCACTTGTATTTGGCAGCCTTTCTGCCAGTGGGGGAGGAGATGTTTCAAGACAGGGTTTCTCTGTATAACAGTCCTGGCTGTTCTGGAACTTGTAGACCAGACTGACTTCACAGAGATGCACTTGCCTTGGGAGCCTTTCTTTATGCACGATGTCCATGGTCATCTTTTAGTCACTGGTACACACTAATGTCCTACTCAGAGTCACCACTAGTTAAAAAACAAAACAAAAAAAAAACAGACAAACAAACAAAACAACTAAGAAATGCAAGCTTTCAGTTAGGAGTCTACATTGAAGTAGAATTCTGAATTGTACAGTCACCAAGTGGGAACCTAAGTCTGGACGCTTACTGGCCCTTGATAGCAGTGTTCCTGTGTAGAGGATAGTGACCACTTGGCAGGTACTACCTGAAACTGGAACACGGACCAGGGAGGTGGCCCAGCAGCTAGGAGTGCTTGCTGCTCCTGCAGAGGAGCAGACTTTGGTCCTCAGTACCTGTGATGGGCGGCTCATAGCTGACTGCTAGCTCCAGGGGCATCCACATCTATGAGATGTGTGCACAGACAGACAGACAGACACATAGATAAAAAACCATTCAACAAACCTGAGTTTTGCTGTGTTTGGGGGACGTAAAAAAGACTTAAAAATTCATTAGTTGACAGCTCTCTAAAATCTTTGTATCTGAAGTGTTTTATGTAGTGCCTGCTTGGCTTGTGGAGTAAGAGTGGTTTCTCAAGGTAAACAAATGTAACCCGAACAGTTTCAGGTATGTGATTTGTTGCATGCATGTAGTTTGGTTTTTTTTTTTTTTTATGTATCTTTACATTCCTGCTAGAGAGGGAGATGTCTGTCTTCGGGTTGTAGCAATTATGGTGTTGGCCAGTCAGGCGATATTGAGAAAGGCAAGATTTTGGTTCAGAAGTGTACCCAGTGCCACACTGTGGAAGGAGAAGCAAAAGACTGGGCCCAAAAGTCAAGCTGCCTTATTCACTACAGAACAAATGTCTCATGGCTTTTAATGTGGGCTATAATCTAATGCATACACTAAAATTTAGATCATGAATGGCTTGTGGTAGAGTGGATATATCTTTTTTAAAATAACAATTCCAGTTGTATAAATACTATCACTGCTCTCCCTGTCTCGAGATAAGATGGAACTTAATTAGTAATGTTCTACTTTCCACAACGATGGTTTTATACTTAAATTTATATAGCTGGGCATATGAATATGTTTGAACACTGTCACCATCTCCAAAATGAGGAGACTCTCCTGTTACAGGCAATAATTAAATGTCAGAAAGCAACTGTCTGTTATGGATGGTGTCATTTTAATTAGAATTTCCTATGTCAAAAGATGCTGCCTTTGACCTTTGAAAGATATTTACTGTGGTTTGTGTATAATATCAAAGAGTGTTTAGTGCTTCTTTGTAGTTAACCTATAGATTGAAATACTCTTAGAAACCATCAACTTAGACCTTTTCAATTCTTTGTTATTTAGGACTAAGTTCTAATTCAGAATTGTCCTTAAACACCATTCAGAAACAGACAAAACTGGAACATCCATATATGTGTGATTGGTAGTGGTACTCTGCCAGCTTATTAGATGGAAAGATTAAAATAAAGGAGGTAGTTTGTATGTTTTCAACAGTAAGAAGATAATTAAAAGTAACCATAGATCATGGGAAAAAGGAACATTCCTTTGCTGAGAGCTTATTTTCTTTATACTATATCAGCAATAACATTGGGATTTGAGTCCCATGTGTCTTTGGCAATCTGGAACAACCAAGTGCAGATTAAATGCTATAAAGTGAGATAGAGTACTGAAAGTATTTGCTATATATGGAAAACTATTTGCCAGAAAAACTGAAATGAATAGAAACATCTCTTTATTGGCAAAGCCCATTAGGGGAAGCTTTGTGGTTTAAAATAATCACAGAAGATAAGCTATTTCAGCCTGTGCCCAGGCTGCCTGAAAAATCACATTTCTCCTAAGAAAAGCTAAGTTGCGTTGCTGTGTACGCTACACTGACTTTATGTTCAGTTCTTTTATATATGTGCATGTGTGTGTGATGTGTGTGTGATATCATGTTTTTCTTTAGCTACTACTGGTTTTTGCTTTTTGAGACAGGGTTTCTCTGTGAAGCCCTGACTGTCCTGGAACTCACTCTGTAGACCAGATTGGCCTCAAACTCACCAACATCCATCTGCTTTTGCCTCCCAGGTGCTGGGATTAAAGGCATGCACCACACTTGGCAGGGTTTATTTTTTTAATTGTTGCTTTTTAAATTTATTTTTAATTTTATGTATATGAATGAGTATTTTGCCTGCATACATGTTATAAAAGATTAATTTAAATTTTAAGGGTGTTTTCCTTTCCTTAAGATATTATGAACTGGATCCTGACAAAAGTCTCTTAGACAATCTGAAGAACAAAGTGATCATTGAATATCCAACTTTGCACGTGGTATTGAAAGGATCCAGTAATGACCTGCAGCTTCTTCACCAAGGTAAGCATGTGTGTCTCTTCCCCTCTTAGAGGACAAGCGGTTCCATGGCTGCTCCTACGTTTTATACGTGTTTGTGTGTTACAGATGTAAAAGAACATGCTGTGCACCTCAGCTGGTGATATAAAGCACCAAGCCAGCGGGTGCCATTTCCTCCCCACTAGAAAGTGTGACTCTCATGATCCTGATTGGAATGAATGAATCAAAATGTCTTCTAAAAAGGATATTTTGCTTTATTAGAATTGTCAGATACAATTTACTGTTTGTACTGAAAACTGTAGGTGGGGTTTTTCATCGGAATGGCAGGGTAGCTCTGTCCCCGAGCCAGCTCCCAGGAACCACACAGAGACTTCATATTAACTATAAATACTCAGCTGATAGCTTACGCTTGTTGCTAACTAGCTCATACAACTTAAATTAACCCATATGTCTTATCTATGCTCTCCCACGTGGTGGTGCCTTTTTTTCAACAGCAGCGAGTTCATCTTGCTTCTCTCCATAGCTCCTGAGATTTCTACCTTCTTCTTCCCAGTGTTCTCTGCCCCAAAAATCCTGCCTAGCCATTGGCCAGTCAGCTCTTTATTAACCAATGAGAGTAATACATATTTACAGTCAATAACGGGATTATTCCACAACAGAAAACTCTAGAGATTCACGAAATGAGAAATTGCTGGTTTTGTATCCTCCCTTCTAGCAAGGAATGCGGCTGAGGGAATGTGTTTAAAGTCTGCGCTGCATTTAGCTGAGCTTGTACCATGGCTCACCTTTTTATTCCCTACCACTTCTGTCTCTTTGCCATGTGAGAAGGTACTAGAACTGTGGTATAACTGGAAGTGGTTTGGTGTCTTAAAAATCTCTTACCGGCTTTCCGGCCATTGATCAAAGTAACCTAAGCTCAGTAATGATTCTAGAAGGTGACTGACTACTCGGAACCCTGAGATAGCATTTCAGCTGAGAACTGGTGGGTCCAGGCCACACTGCGCCGCAGCAGACCCCAAAGATGGTGTGTGGATCTGTGTTTGGATGAGCATGTGTGGGTTATGTGTGGATCTGTGTTTGGATGGTTCTCTTCGGCATGTGTGCTTTGCATGTGGATCTGTGTTTGGATAGTTCTCTTCGGCATGTTTGGGTTATGTGTGGATCTGTGTTTGGATCGTTCTCTTCAGCATGTGTGCTTTGTGTGTGGATCTGTGTTTGGTAATTCTCTTTGGCATGTGTGCTTTGAGTGTGGAGATCTGTTTGTGAGGTGTTCTCCCCACGTGTATGTGTGTCATTTTTTTCTTTCTTGAGTAAAATTAATAAAATTTCCAAGATTTTTTTTGAATGCCACAACTTGAAACTAGGTTTTAATTAGCAAATGTAGAGGTTTTTATAACAAATTATGAGTCGTTAAGCTTTTTATTTATTCTTATCTTTGTTTTTCACAATTTGAAGGATAGCCAATTTTCTCAAATGAGGAATTTTAGTTCTAAGAAACCACTTTTATTTTTTTTAAATGTTGTAAAACCTTACTTTTTCTTCAACATGATTAACAGAGTGTTAAGACTTCTAAAGGCTGGTTTCAGGGAGAGCTGCTGGGTGAGTTACTCGCCGGGGCAGACATGAGGTGTGCAAACAGCAGCACACAGCTCCTCTCTCACCTTGGTTAGGAACGACACGTTCAGGCAAGGCTTCCTGGGATGAAGGAAGCAGTAAGAAAGGCTAATTCAGCCTGTACTGGAACCTCAGGCAGAATGTGTTGCTTTATTTTGGACTTATTTACAGGCACACACACAGTCCAGTCTTCTCTGTAAATGGTTATGTAGGGCTGCTGCAAGAGAACCTGACAGAATCCAAGGACATGTTGGAGCCGGCACATCCTGAGTGCTCTCCCCTTGACTACTTAGTAGGGCGGGTCTGCAGGCATTCATTGATTTGTCTTAGCACATCAAGGTGCCTGTGTCTTTGAACAGTCCTGTGGCATTGATATTCTGCACAGTGGCCTGGGAGTGGAGGGGGGGGGTCCTATAAAAACAGAACATTTTCTTTGGAAAGCCTTGAAATTTTTGTTCTCTCCAAAGGTGGGGGGAAAAGTTGAATTTTTATCCTGAGAATAGAGTTTTGGTTTGTGTGGGTGGGGGAAATAACTCCTTCCACTTACCTCTTCCCCCTTCTTCCTCAGCCTTCTTTGCTTTCTTTCCCTTCTGTGTAGGTGAGGACAGGGTGCAGCCACATGAACGCACGGCTAAGCTCTGTACAGTGCGTGCCATGACAGACCCCTTCTCTACCTCATGGAGTCAGACAGCATAAACATTAAGCGAAATAATCTATCATTTTTAATGACTTAGTTTTATTAAGTGTGTACATGTGTGCATGTGCACACATCCTATACAGTGCTCTAAAGGCCAGAAGAGAGTGTCAGGTCCCCTAGGCTGAAGCCAGCGCAGTGGTTGTTGAGAACCAAGCTTTCATGCGCTGGAGGAGCCGCACGGGCCCTCAACCCCAGCCGTCTCTGCAGACGCTAATCATCGTTAAGCCCTCACAGAGGTTGAAGTGTTTCATTGTGCTGCTTACTTTTAGTTTCATGTTTAAGGACAGAGTGATATGCTGTCACCAGGGGTTCAGTGTACTACACTCTGGACAAACTCAGGGAGGAGATGCTGGGTCCTGGTCATGGAGAACTTCAGTATTTCTCACCCTCAGTGTGGCAGGAGCTTCAGAGGCCTCCATTCTGCTCAGTCTTCTGTCAGCCCACATGCATTCACATATACTCACCCTTAACTTTAAGTTTAAAAAAAACCACGTTTTAAAAAAAATTCCAGCTGCATTTGAGTACGCTGTGTGATAATAGTGTCGTGAATATGAATCATAACTGAACCGTGAGGCCCATTCCCAAGTCTCCCACAGTCAAGAAGGATGTGCCCTCACAAAACAGAGTCGTCACTTCATTTATTATGTCCAGAATTGTGGGTCCCGGCTGCCTGGGATGTGACATGGTTTGTCTGTCGCTGTGAGTGGTGCTGTTGCTATGCATCAAAAAGGAGGAGAGATGAAGAGAAACAAACAGGCTGAGCGGTATAAACATCTGACTGTATGTTTACATGGTTTTTCCAGTGAAAAGTGAATCTACCCAGAAGCTTGGTGATGGAAATTGAGCACTTGTGGAAGAAGGTGAAAGTTCCCAGATGGTCGAGAAGATCATGTGTAGATGGGCAGTTGGGTGACTGGGGAGCTGCTGAAGGGCGCATGGAATGTGTTATCTAAAAGGAAATTAAATAGCATAACTTTCTTTTGAAAACAGTGTATGTTGTCGCTTTTTGACTGAAGTACAAAGCCTTTCCCCAGATGAACCCTTCCTGTACCCGATTAGTGAAGGCCTCACTAGACTTTAGTACGCTCACTTCTGTACACTGAACCATTTTTATTTCTTAGGGTGACACAAGACCAAACCCAAGGATCACTTGTGTCAGCCATAAAGAAGGCCTTCTCCATGGTTGCACTGCACTGAAGAGAATGCCACACAGGGCAGCCAAGTGTCTAGCCGAGGAGAAGCACTCTCTGAGTACTGGCCGTCCTTGTGTTTGGTTTACGTGCAACCCTCTCAAGACAGCTCGTACTCGAGACACTCTAAACACGAATCACTCTGTGTTGTGTTCGGTTAGAAAGATGAGCAGCTCCACATTGAGGTACCATTGGTGACATCTTCGCACGGGTTCTGTGTCTCATCCACTCCCAGTTGGCTGGTTGCTGCAGAGCGATATGGTGGTGATCCATTTGGTGGTATATTTTGGAAAAAGAAACACCCACTTGGAACTCTTGAATGTGTTGGCAAAGTGTACAGAGGTGTAGTTATGTGTACACATGGCTTGATATACGCAGTTCACATGCTGAAATTAAACCTTTATGGGTTTCATGGGCATTCACACATCTCAGAAACTTTGACTATAAAAGAATAAAGAATTACATCTACATTGCATCTGTGTACTAAGTGCAATTAATTTTAAATAAAAAATTAATGGAAAAGGAGCCATGAATTTGAAAATGAGCAAGAACGGGTATATGGGAAGGCATAAAAGGAGGGAGGAGAGAAATGATGTATTTATAGTATAATCTCAAATATAGAAAGGTGATCAAATTGAACATTAGTGAAGATTATTTAGCTTAGAGGTAGAATAAGACTGAGGTCAAAAGAAACCAGAGACTTGGAGAATACAAATATATGTGTAACTAAAGATAGAAATCACAGTAGAAAGACAAGAGGCAATAATGCCCAAAGACCACTGGTCTCATCAAAGTACCATTCGTAGTTGAGAAATGTGCTCACACCCTAGGGCGCCCTTGGGATCTAACATGGCAAAGGATTCATATGGAGTTCTGTCATTGCCACTAACCCCTGGAAAGACAGCTAAGCTCGATTTCATGGGGTTCACATTTGATCCAAAAGTGAAATGTGTGTCACTGAAGCAGGCAGGCGAGATGGAGGAACTGAATCGAATTGTCCTGGCGTTGTTGGGGAAGTGGGATCAGAGTGCGCAGGAAGAACATGTGGTCCGGGGTGGGGTGGAGAGGAATCTTGTACTGTTGTGTCAATTCTAAGGAAAGTGTTAAGCTCCGTATAGAACTGAAGAACAAAGAAAGAATTTTCTGTGCTTTCTTCTGCCTCCCAAGAGGAGAGGGGAGCAGAGTTCACCTAAATATAACTGTCAGCTAACTTGATTAATACGCATATTTATTCCCAAGGAATTTATAATAAACATGTGTCTTACTGAGTAATCGTGTTTGAGGGGTGAAGTTGGAATGGTTTGCTGAAAGTCTGAGAAGACAGTGGTGCCGAAGCCACTCTTAGTGACGTTACAGATTCTGGAGTCAACAGACTTCATCCTTCTGCAGTAACCATGGATTACTTAAAGGGGAAACTCCACCTGACTTTTATTTATTTTTTTTAAACAATGATTTAAGCAACAGCTGCCAGGATGTAATCCCAGCATTGGAGAGATACAAACAGACGGACCACTGGGGCTTACTAGCCAGCCAACGTGGCATACTCTGAGTTCAAAGTCGGTGAGAAACACTTTGTCAAAATCAAGGTGGACAGCACCTAAGGAACAACACCCAACATTATCCTCTGGCCTGCATGTGTGCACATGCTTGTACACACACGTACGTATTCTTTAGCCCTTTGATAAGCAAATGTGAGCCTACTTACCCTTTCATAGTCTTGGTGAGTAAAGTCAAGGCTCAGAGCCCCTTCTTTCCATTCTTTGCCGGGATGTTTTACTGAGGATAGTACCATCATTAGATGCACAGGGGCTTCCATACACCAGTACTATCACAGACTACTGTGCTAATATATGGAACAGCAGAAGAACCGTGTTCAGCCTGCTGGTGAATCCAGCTATAATTTTTTGGGCCATTGCATTGTAGACATGATAGGTTTGAGGGATGGAGTTTGGTGGGGACTCTTGAAGCTACCTGGGAGATAGTATAATTTCATGACCTTTTGGAATTCTTGGGAAAGGTTCAGAAGTAGAAATTGAATGGTTGAAGGAAATCTATGAAGACACCAGGACAGACAAAAAATAAAAAAGATCTCCCAAAATGTGTGAGTGTTCATTTCACAGACTGGAGACAAATGCTCTTGCTCTACAGACACACCCAAGAAGAAAGCCAGCCAGTATGGGTTTATTTTGAAAAGCCAGCTTCCTATCTCCCTGTGGGGATTCAGAGACTATTGTACAGTGGTTTCACATTTTTATTTCAGAAAACTCAAATTTCTCTCGGGTTTCTGTTTCACATTCTAGCTTATTTTTTCCGTTAAAAGTTGTCACAATCTACCTCTTGGTATCTTGATTCCTTTTGGCTCCTTGAGCGTTGGTTCTGGTGCAAGTCCATATGGTGTAAATCTGTGGTGTCAAGACGGTCCTTGACGCCCAGTAGCTTGTTTTCCTGGAGCCTTGTGGTCTTCCTGTTGACTGGTGCTCTGTGTTCCTAAAGAACAGGAGGCTCCAGTCTCTGTGTTTTGAAGTAGGCGTACTGGCTAACCAGACGCTGGGATTCTGGGCTTTTAAAGCCTTCACCAGTGTAGAAGAGACAGCAGCAGCCTTTTCCATGTTTCTGACAGATTGGAAGGTGTTTTTTCAAGTTCTTTGCTTCAGAGCTCTCGCTGGAAAGGTTGGTCAGTTGTTCAGCCAACATCCTTGGCCTCTGCAGCTGTTGCTGGTAGAAGCCTCTAATGGTTTTTGCCACATTTGGACCCTCACAAACAAATCTGAGCACTGAGAAAGGAAAACTGGAGGTGGAGAAGAAAGCCAGGAGAGTGGGTGTCCAGTGTTCCAGGTGGTGGCTCTCTAAGGAAGCTACTGTGTGGCTGGCCCGTGTGGACAGTCAAAAGGTGGGGGAATAACCCAGAGTTCCTTTCTTTCCTAGGTGACAAGAAGGGCAGCTGTGAGGTTTGAGTTGATTCTTTCTCCCGATCAGTGTGTCCTTAGAAGTGAGAGGGGAAGCTAGCTCATAACCAAGTCTTTTAGCCTTTCAAAAGGTTGAAGTTCAGTAAGTTAGACCTAAAATACTTTCTACTATTCCATAACCTACATTGCCTTTTGACTTCAAAGAGGAGTAATGAGTCTTCATAGCTTGAACTTCCAGAATACATTCGAGGGCATAGTAAAATCTGCTGTTTGCACTTAGCATGACCCCCTACTCTTGGTAACAACTCTTTGGGAATGGCTGACCTCTCTGCTCTTAGCCTCAAGTTTCAGTGGGCTAGACCCATCCCTCCTCCTAATGGACTCATCGCTCTTAGCAGCTCCATCTCCCACTTCTCTGTTCGGGTCAGAGCCTTGCAGGTGACCTGAGCATGTGTGACCTAAGCAAATTGCAGAAAGGTGGTGAGCATGGCCAGGTGCAAACTCCACCAGAAGGCTAAAGGGAGCGTAACCTAGTTTCCTGTGTGAGAAGAGCTAGTCTTGTTGATGACTGCGAGGAAGCCAGTTGGATCCAGTACGGCATGCCTTCCATCCCTGTGAAGTGTTCGGTAGCATTAGCCAAAATACTTCCTTGGTTTTTTGTTTTGTTTTGTTTTGTTTTTGACAGCAGCTCTGTCAGAATTTAATAACCTGGAAATGGAGTGTAGAAAATGATAGAACTGCTGAATAAAATAGAAGAGTCTCGATATGCTGGACTACAGCATTAGTGAGAATTAGGTCGGCCTACAAAAGAAACATAATCATAACGGTCACCTCAGGAACAGTTTCTGGATGTTGTATCCATCATTTCTGCTTAGGTCCCACCTGCAGGTCTTTGCACAAACGGAAGGAAGACTGGTTGGGGGTTTTTTGTTAGGGTTTTCTATTTGGGGGAATGGGCTGCTTGAAACAGGTTCTCTGTGTAGCTTTGGCTGCCTGGAACTTGCTCTGTAGACCAACTCAAAGATCTCCAACTCAAAGATCTGCCTCTGCCTCCAGAGTGCTGGGATTAATTAAAGGGCATAGTAAAATCTGCTGTTTGCCACTCAGTATACCCCTCTCAGTTGCCTATTGGCAAACCTTACTTTGTAATACAGTGGAATAGGTGGTTATTTTATTGCCTGATATATATTAAGACCCTCAATTCATATGCCTTCTAGGCTATGGCATTAGAGATTTGAACAGGAGGCTGGAGAGATGGTTCACTGCTTAAAAGTACTTGTTACTCTTGCAGAGAGCCCAGGTTCTGCTCTCAGCACCCACATGGTGGCTTACAGTCATCTCTAACTCCACTTCCAGGATGTCTAGTGCTCTCTTCTGAGCTCTGTGGGCACCAGGCACATGTGTGGTGTGCATACATAGATGCAGGCAAAAAGTTTATTCAATATACATAAACCTTTAAGAAGGAGTCAGCAGAGACTTGAACAAAAAGACTCTCTGAGCCAAACCCCTGCATAAATGGTACAGATGATCTCCAGGTTTCACCCTATGCTGAGGAACTACTGGAGGTAGATGGTTGATGAAGAAGGCAGAATCATCTTTAGAAGGAGTTTCTCTGTGATCCAGCAGCCACTCCCAAATAACCACAGAGAGGGATAATATTAATTGTGAAAGCTTGGCTGATAGCATAGGCTTATTACTAACTCTTACAACAGCCCATTTCTATTAATTTACATTCTGCCTCATGGTGTTATCTCTCATCTTACACTTTCTGTGTCCTCTGCATATCTCGCTGGTGACTCCTTTGACTTTGCCCTTCTTCTTCCAGTGTCCTTAGTCTGGTTCTCATGCCTAACCTTATTCTGTCCAGTTCTAGGCCAGTCAACTTCTTTAT